GTTGAAAGTTGCGGACAAGCTGCTGCGGACACACACACACACACAAACACACACACAGACAACCCCATAACAATATGCTTTTTGTACTGCTGTTACACAACACAAAACGCATAAAAATTCAGCACTCTAAATGCTTCGGTTGCGGAGTTACGTCAAATTTCACGTGTTCATGCGTGAGTGGCGACGTGAATGCTTTCTTCGCTTGCGGCTACTCAAACACCGCCCTGGGTAGAGCTCAGAAAGTCCCAGTGCTCAAGCTGCTCTGGTTGCAGAGTGACGTGAGATTTCACGTGCTTGTACGTGAGCAGCAACGTGAATGCTGTTTTCGCGTCCTTTGCTCAAACACGACGCTGGGTAACGCTCAGAAAGTTTCAGCACTCCAGCTGCTCTTGTTGCGAAGTTACGTCAAATTTCACGTGTATACGCGTGAGACGTACGTGAGACGTGAAAGTGATGTGTAAGTCGTTTTTGCGTGCATCTGTTCAACGGCCACCATAGGTTATGCTCAGAAAGTTCAGGCCCTCTGGCTGGTTCAACCCTAAAGTTGCAAAAGCGCATGCATAAAATTTTCACGTGTTCGTACATGAGATGCAGAAGAGCTGACAGGCAATTTACTTTCACGGGCATAACAGTGGACGACAAGTAACGCTGCAAAATTGCAGCTCTTTGCAGCTTATTGGTCAGTTTAAATCTGGAGTTGGCATGGTGCCAATTTAAACTTTGATATGTGCGTACGTGAGACTTAGGGGTGCGTGAAGCTGAATTTGAAATCTTTGGATTAGACGTAGCCAAGGAACATTTCCGTGAAGTTTTAGCCTCCTAGCTTGCGCCGTTCCCGAAAACGCTATCCCGCCAAAAAAACTTTCACTTTCCCGTACGTGAAAACCACGCGGAACCGAGTGTCCATTTTGAGGGTAGGAGCCCGCACGTATGTGTAGATTAAGTTACCAAAGTTTCAGCCTTGTAGCTTTTATGGATCTCGAGATGAAAACTCGTTACAGACGCACATACATACATACATACATACATACATACATACATACATACATACATACATACAGCCCCTAGACAATATGCGTTTTTGCACTGCATGGCTGCAAAAAACGCATAAAAATAGGTCAACAGAATTCACCTTGATGCATTATTAGTGCTTTTGCGGACCTTTTTTAGGGGTACTGCCATTAAATTTTGTCAGATCAGACAAGAAGCCCGAAGATTTCTGTGAATCGCTGATCGATAGCTCGAGCAAGTACAATGCTTTCCAGATAATTTGTTTCCAAAGGTTAGATTTCTTAGCTGTTGCGGTGACACGCTGTGGTGATCTGAAACACTACTAACAAAAGCTGCTGCTGTTGCCCAAGTGCAACCAGTTCCACGCTGGGAAAACCAGTTCCCTTTACAAATTGCTGATGAAATTTCGATGTTGCTGATATGCTCGATCATGCTGGAGTCATAAATCACTGCGTTTGCGATTCTGCTGCTATTTTTGAAGAACGGGATCATCATCGGTAGCCCTGACAGCAGCTGGTTGCTTCTGCTCAGAATAGCCTTTTCGAGCAGATTTCTCTAATTCAAATGAAAAAGCTTTAGCAGAAAGTGGAATTTTCCAGGGACGAGAATGATCAGTATGAAGTGGTCGGCTTGGCAAATCATTTTGTCGACAAAATTGAAGTTGTCAAATTCCCACCAGGTACGCGGTCTGTGTTCGTTCCAGCTAAAATACAAATGCGCCAGGTGCACTTGCACCAAAACGCTGATTTTGATTTCGCAACTCATAGAGAGGAACCGATACGGAAATTTGCTGGGCTGTCGGCGATATCGAGCATGTACCGCTTGAAGCAAAAGTATTTTTTACGTTACTGCATTTCTGCCTCCCAACTAGTACTCTCTTCTCTTAAGAGGCTCAGGAACTCGTCCAGATTTTTCCCAAGTGATTTGGTCTTGGTAACTCGTGTCTTGTATACGGAAATCCTCATCTGGCTTTTTAGAAAGCGCATCATGAACATAAGCGCTTCAAACATCTTCACTCCCTTCCTTGGGTATTTTATCACAGTACTTCATTTTACATCGCCTGACTTTGTGTGGTCTCAGTACTCAGCTTTACTTGGCTTTGCGTAGATGGCATTCTATCGCTCTGTTCCAGAGAGTGTGTTTCGAAAAAATCATTTAACGGAGAAATATGTAATTTTTTTCTCCGGAGCCGTTTGGAAAAGGTTTTTGTTTTCCAAAATATGCCCTCTGGAAAAGGGCAGAAGGACGCTAGCCTTTGTAACACCAGTGTCTCACCCGCAAAAATTCATGATTCATTTTGTTGTTTTTTTCCTCGCCATTTTTCCTGAAATGTTCAAAAAAATTTCGGAACTGAAAAGCATTGTGGGGTGTATTACAGGCATTTACGGCTTCGGGAACAGTCCGTCATCGAAGCCATTCAAAAAAATTCAGCGAGGAGTGAGCAGAATGAAGGAAATTATTGAAAAAATTAACACGCAACGTTTATCAGAAGAAGAAACTATTGAGCGGCTGATGCAATTAGCCACTGATAAACATCAGCAAGTTTTTCTGCTTTCACGTGTTGGTGCTTTTCCATACTTTACCGGAGAAGACCCAGAGTACAAGTAGTATGTGGCTCACACATTCCTCAGTATCCAGACTGATTGCAAGTCCACTTAGTCGAAACCTACCTTTGTCTTCTCTTATCCATGCTGGAATATAAAATCAAAAAGTCAAAGACCTCCTTTGTACTTGCTCTCACTGGTAGGCGAAGGCACACAGGAAGCAGCTTAAGTGGTAGCAAATGCCAACAGCAATTACCCCCAAACAAAGCTATCAGCGGTTTGCTCCTTCGAGAGTTGCTTAAAAGCAAACTGATGATGAGGCGAAATAGATAATGATCACAAAAATGGCTGAATCGGTACGTATTGTTACCTGTGTTAGCTAGAATTGAACAATGTGGCCCTTTTGATATATTTAACGTCACATAGCTATAGGGAGCACTGACCCTGGAAAGATACGGTTCTGATGAGAGAAAAAATTTTTAGCAATTTTTAAAGTTTAGAAATAAACTTTTAGTAATTTTAGTGATTTTTAAAGAAACAATTGGTATAAGAGTGTTCAAATTTTTACGTTCGATAGTCGCAATCATTACCTACTATGTAGCGGTAAAAAAATAATTGGAATCCACAAAACAGTTGTTTTCTTACTTACTTGGATCAGCTACAGCTCACAAAGTTATTAATTGGACCCCTATACAAATGGCAGCTCTCCCTGTTGCTTTGACCAGTGCTGCACTGCCTAACAGTCCTAACATTCGTTTCGTCTCCTGAAAAGATTACCCGCACAACGGATTTCCCATGGCGCCACTTCCTGCCGAAGCTAAATGTGCCACGGTACGTTGTTACATTGCGATACTGTGAAACGAACTACGGTTTTATAAGAAAGCGTTTTTCAGATGTTTTCCTGATGAGCAACTGAAACAACAGTGTAGGCGATCGAACGAGCTTTGTAGATATCGTACTGCCATTTTTGTGCAATTTCCGGATGGAATCCCGTACGGCACGAGGTAAGCTGCTTTCATTTCTCAGAGCATTTTTTACTTTTGCTTAACCTCGTACTTCCCTGATAGCTCGAATATGCTAAGAAGTTTTGGCTTTTTGTTTGTTCACTCCATTTCAATAGATCTTCAACGCATCACCTTCGCCAGCCTTCAGCCGGAGCATCATCTCCAGGTCGCACACAATAGTACTGGTGGATCGCAACAATCGAGCAACTTTCTATGAGAAGGCAATGGATGCAGCACCAAAAAGAGCGAGCGAGGCGAACTGGACCGAGCGCACCTTTCACTTTGATCTCGTTTGAAATAATGAGTAAAAATCCCCACAATCCAGTGTTATTTTTGCAAAAAAAAAAAAA